TCTATTCCATTGACATTAAGCACACCTATTTTATATATTGTTTCAAACTTAGGTTCAAAGTGTTATTCGAATGTCGACAGAAACTATTATGACCAAAAGATACTTATGCGTATAAACAATACTTTCTCTGCTGGTTTGCCTATTGTTCATTCGAATGCAGAATTTTCAACCTTAGTGAACTCAAACACTTTGGCAAGTATAACGTTGACATTAGTTGACGCAAACTTTGTTCCTGTAAAACTTTTATGTCCTATGTATTTGTCAATGACGGCAGAAAGTTTCGAATTGGAAGATGCAACTGGTGAAAGTATTGTATTACAAGAACAACTTCAACAACAAATAGCTCAAGAACAACAAATGCAACAAATGGAACAACAAAGTCAAGAATAAAAAAAATATTTTTTTTATTTTATAAAAATGTACAGAATAGATGTTTCAGATTTTTATGACTTCCAAGCATTCAGAAATATGTGTCCATTTCGAGACTATAACAAAGCAGTCGAGAATTTGAAACGTTTAGTCATTTATGTCGACTCTGCCCCAGAATGTTATGTTATGAAAGAATGGGATGTAGTCTTTAACAAACCTAAAGCGACAATAGTTTCAGAACAAGAATGTAAACAGAAACTTAAGAAAATAAAAGTTGTACAAGTTGGCATGAAGATGTTAGATGCTTGGGATATCTTATTGTCAAAACTTGAAGATTTTTCAGTTCGAGGTATAAAGTTCTATACACCTTCTCCAAACTTCTATTCTATCTTCACTGGATATAAATACGAACAAGTAGAATGGAAAGAAAATATTATAGAAGCTTGGTTAGACCATGTCAAAGAAATTATATGCAATGGAAACGAAAAGGTTTATGAGTATATCTTATGTTGGTTTGCAAACATCTTACAACATCCAAGTGCTAAGAATGAAACTGCTCTCATTATAATTGGAAAACAAGGAACTGGTAAGAACACATTCTTTACAGATATCTTATGCAAACTATTAGAAGGTTATTCGAACCCTAATATGACAAACTTAGAAAACATCTGTGGCAAGTTTAACTCCTCAATAGAGAATATGAAACTTATAGTTTGCAATGAACTTCAAAGTATAGATACAACAAAAGTTTTGAACTCAGATGCTTTGAAGAGTCTTATAACAGACAAAGTTGGAGTTGTTGAAAGAAAGTATAAAGACCAAAGAGTTTGTGAAAATGTTGCAAACTTCATTATGGTTTCAAACAATACTGTTCCGATGAAGTTAGAAAGTTCTGACAGAAGATATGTAGTTGTCAGAACGTCAGATTCTCATATGCAAGATACAGAATATTTTGACGACTTAGCAGAAACTTTGACACCTAACTTTTACAACCACTTGTTCTCATATTTCATGACATTAGATATTTCAAAGTTCAATCCAAGACAAATTCCACATACAGAAGAAAGACAAACATTGTTAGAAGCAAACAAGAGTGTATATGAACTGTTTATAGATGAGACTAACTTTGAGTGTTTAGATGAAAAGTCTTTATATAATGAATATAAACAATATTGTCAAGAATATGGTTATATGGCAGCTTCTAAACGAACATTCTTGGCAAATGTCAAAAGTCTTTTAGATGTTCAGAACGGCGTATATACAAAGAAAAATTTTTCTGAGTAAATTTAAAAAAAACATTTTTTTATCCGATAGAAAAGATGACGAAATTCATCTCAGTAAACAAGTACATGACAGAAGTCAAAGAAGAACTAGACCCATTCGCTTATTTGAATGTTTACTTCTACAATTTTGAAAAGTCTACATTTGACAAAATTTGGAACATCGAACCGGTTAAGTTTGCTGTTGTTAGAAAAAGTGGTGCAACTTTTGAAGACTTAGACATAGAAGGTTTGTTAGCAGTCAAAGAAAATTTTGACAGAAAGTTCTCAAAACTCGAAGAAGGCAAAGCATACAAACTTGTTATACCTTATGAACCAAAGAAAGCAGACGACTATGAATATTATGAGTCTAAGATAGTTGAAGTTCAAGGTAAATTGGGTAAAAAGATTTTAGAGTCTAAGCCAGTGTTTGCCCCTAAAGAGGAAGAGAACATTGACATTGACCCAGAAATGTTCTAAAAATAAAATTTTATTTTTACATGTCATATCTCCCCTTCTCTGGAACTGGTTCAGGTTCTTTCTTCTCTTCTACTTTCTTCTCTTCTTCTACTTTCTTCTTCTTTTCTCTCTTCTTCTTCTTTTCTGGTGGAGTTATGTCAAATTTCTCCGAACCATATTTATGTAAAAGTTCTTTGTCCTTTAATAGCTCATCTATTCTGTTTTCTATTTCATCTTCAAGAACAGCGCATGTGCCTTCTTTGCATTCTAAGAACTTTTGTTGGACTTCATCTTTCCAATCGGCGTCATCTCTGTCAACAAGTCTGTCATTGACAAATTTTAAGACTGCTCTGCTTAATGTTTTATGGTTCTTGTCATATTCCCAGAAACAGAACTTTAGAACAAATTCACCTTTCTTGTTTACACTATGTAAGATTTTATGGTCGACAGATGTTTTAGAGTCGAAAAGTTTGTCTCGAATATAGATAGCGAAATCGCTAGACATTTTCAAAAAGATAAAAATTTTAATTTTTCTAAAAATATGTTAGAAAAAAAGTTTGCTGACATTGACAAAAAATTTGAGAATGTTTTGAAGAAGAACAAGAGGAAGTTAGAAAATGCTCAGATAAAACCCATACATGAAAAGTTCTTATTTGCTCAGAATGGTATAACAGGTCTAATTGCACCACCTGGGTCGGGTAAGACTTTCACTTATCTTAAAATGGCTGCACAACAACAAGAACTAGATGAGAAGAACCCATTCTATGAGTTAGTTGTCATTTGTAGTACTTCTGGTCAATTTGACCAAACCGTCAATTCGTTCAAAGATATTATAAAAAAGTCTAAGTTAGTATGTATAAAAGACTCTGAGTTGTTGGATTGGATAAAGAAGTACCAAAGAAGAGTTTTGAAGTACAATGCTATAAATGAGTATGTCAATTCGAAGTTTAAAGACCCAAATGAGGAAATGCAGAGAATATTAGAGAAGAAACACTTCAGAAACAAACAGAAAGAGATAGAATACATTTCGAAGAAATTGCAATCTTACGATTGGAAGACTTACCCTCACAGATGTCTTCTTATCTTAGATGATTTCGCCTCTCATCCTTTTTAAAGAACAGAGAACAAGATATGTGTCGAATTCTTAAGAAGCTCAGACACTTTAACATTTCAGTCGTAATATGTGTACAGACAGCAAAGAGTTTAAGTAAGGATGTTAAAAGAATACTTACTGACATTATACTTTTCCCCGGATTGTCCGAAGACGATTTCATGGAACTTATGAAAGAGTCCATGGCAGGTAAGTTTGACAGATATGAACTATGGGAGAAGTATAAAGTCATACAAGACCCTCATACTTCTTTCAGAATTCATATCTACGCAAACAAAGTTCAAATTGTAAAAAGTCAAGCTTGAAAAATAAATGTTTAGTCTTAGTAAGTCTGTTGTGGTGCTGGGGCTGTCGGTTCTTCTGGCTTTGGAATGGACTCGGTTGGTGGTACGTCGGACATTGTCTTGAAACAATAAAAGACTTGTCTTGAAACAATAAAAGACTTGTCTTGAAACAATAAAAGACTTGTCTTGAAAAAGTAAAAGACTTGTCTTGAAAAAGTAAAAGACTTGTCTTGAAAAAGTAAAAGACTTGTCTTGAAAAAGTAAAAGACTTGTCTTGAAAAAGTAAAAGACTTGTCTTGAAAAAGTACGGGTATCGTCTTAAATCAAGACCACTGTTCTCAAATTTGAGAACTTTACACCAAAAATTTCTTGAAAAATAACGGGTCTTGTCTTGAAAAAGTAAAAGACTTGTCTTGAAAAAGTAAAAGACTTGTCTTGAAAAAGTAAAAGACTTGTCTTGAAAAAGTAAAAGACTTGTCTTGAAAAAGTAAAAGACTTGTCTTGAAAAAGTAAAAGACTTGTCTTGAAAAAGTAAAAGACTTGTCTTGAAACAATGACCGACATAGACCCAGAAGGATTTGACAAGACAATTTACCTTATAGAGCTACCTGAGCCATCTGAAGTCAAGCGTAAAAATAAATGGTTCATCTACCCTGCTTGTTTGAAGTTGTCAAAATACTCTGTTATTTTTTCCTTTAACAATGGCAAATCTTCTTTGAAGGTAAGTATTGTACAACCTTTAATATCATAGTGTGTTTGAGGTAACGTATCTTGAACTATTTGTTTCACATCTTCATTCGGTGTCATTGAAATCGGTAAGTTTTCGCGATAGAACCAATTTCTGTCAGATTTGTAAATCTTAGCAAGGTCGTAAAAGCTTTTGTTGTTTCTTCTGACTAAATGCAACATAACCATATCTTTATCTTCTTCATTTTCCATCTCTTCAGTATAAATCATATACTTATAGTTCTTTTCCTTTCCTTTTGGTACCGAACGTGGTATTCTTTTCTGAATGCTTTTGTCTTCTTTCATCATATCTTCTCTCTGCTTTGTACAAAGTTCGTCAAGAAGTCTGTAAATATACCATGCATAACGAGGTGAAGCCCACATTGCTATTGAACTAACTAGGAACGTATGAACATATATACCTTTTAGATGTGATGGTAAGTTTTGTCTGTCTTGGTACATCTTTTTAAGTTCTTCATGTTCAAACTCACTGAGGAGTTCATGAGTGCTATTTAATTCAAACCAGTCTTGTGGTTTCTTAGTATCTGGTGCAAAACATGCAGTCAAAATACTTTGCATTTGGTACATATCGTCTTTGACCGAACGAATGAGACGGAGTTGTTTGTTAAACTGAACCCACTCATATTCTTCATTTATAGCTTCATGGACTATAACTGTTGTTGTGTTCTCTGTTGTTGACATATCTGTCTTTACATACAAAATAAAAAAATAAATAAAAATAAAACTAACTTTATTTTTTCTATCTTTCACAAAAGACCAAAAATAAACGCTTTACATGTATTTTTCAGCAACTTCGTCAAATAATTTTATAGCTTTATCTATCTCATCTACTTCAAACGTTTCTTTACCTTTCGTGGGAGCACCATACATTTTCTCAAACTTTTCAAGTAGTTCTGTTTCAGCAGCTCTCATATCGTTAACGAACACAACCTTGACTCTATTGACTGTACTGTCATATCTTTGAGTTATATTATATGTTCTTCCTATCTTATATCTCTTTGTATTGAAGTCCTTCGGTTTCTGAACGATGTAAAGTAAGCCTTCACTGCAACGTTCCGTATCGAATGAACCATATGTTATGAAGTTATATCCAACAACTGGGTCTAACCATAACAAAACTATTGGTATAAGACTTTTGTCTATAAGATATGCTGTAGTTCCATAGAATCTTACCGATATCATAAGCTCAGGATTTCTTGTCAAAATTTTCTGAGTTGAAGCAATTCCAACCCAATGCCATGTTTTCTTTCCAGATGGTGTTAGAATGTCTGACAAAGAATATTTGTTGTATTTCTTTGAGTATCTTACGTTTAAATCACCAATTCTAACCACTTTGGTGTCATTGTCTATCTTTTTGACTGTTTCAAACTCAGTGTTTGTCATTTCCTGTTCTTACATACAAAATAAAAAAAAATATTTTAAAAAAACTAGCGTTAATTTTATTTTTTCTATCTTGTATCTTAAGGAAATTCATGAATTTTGTTGCTGAATTCAGTAAAAATAATGTTTAGGTGAAGAGGTGAGATTTCACCTCTTTTTTCACCTGTTTTTTCACCTCATGAATTTTCATGATTTCATCGTAAATGTTTTGTCAAAACTTCTTCGTAATGAGCGTAAATGACCCAAAAATATATTTTAGGTGAAGAGGTGAGATTTCACCTCTTTTTTCACCTCTTTTTTCACCTGTTATTTTATAAGCGTTTTACATGAATTGTATGATGTATATTTGAAATCCTAAACAATTTCGTAGCTTCTATTTCTTCTGTCAGTACATCGAATGTTTTAACGATACCGAAAGTCTCTTTATACTTCTTCTTGACGTCAGATAGAAGGAAATCTTCTGCTGTTGGATAGTTTTTGTTCAGAAATGCTAACATGTTCATTTTATCTTCTGCTGGTTTCTCTGCTTCTTTCTTTAAATCTGCATAGTCGTTTCTCATACGTTCTATCTCTTTGACGGAGTAGTTATATTTCCTCATTGCTGCTTTACATTTAGAACATTGTGGGTTCATTTTTGCGTTATATTCTGAAACCTTACCTGCTAAAACAACCAAGGCGTCAATGGTTTTCTTCATCTCGAACATAGCGGGTTTTATCTGTTCGTTCCATATTTTACCCCTTCTGTCTTTATCTCTTATCTGCCATACACATTCAGCAACTAATGAAACAAAGTTGTCGTAGGTCTTAAACTCCCCAGATTTATATATGTCAGAAACATTCTTATATACCATGTCGCAATCTTTGTCCATAACCTTATGGTTGCAATGAAATCCTAGAAACTCATAGTTTACCTTTCGTATGAACTTCTTTATTTCTACTGAGTCAGTTGGTTTCACTTCAATTTCGTCGAATTCAGGAATAGTTAGTTTTTGTTGTTGGATTTCAGGTAGTTTAGGTAGATGGTCAATAATATCCTGCATTTCATAAAGATACTGTTCATTTGTTTCATTCTGTGCGGTACAGTCTAAATTACTTGTTAAAAGTTCTTGCTTTATCTTCTGGATTTTTGTTTCGAAAGTATATGAAGAAGGAATGAAGTTTTTCATCTCTACCAACATTGACGTAGGATTCATGACTAACGAGTTTGGTGCTGTTGTTGCTAACATGTTCTTACAATAAAAATAAAAAATATTTTTTTTAAAAAACTAACTTTATTTTTTATTTCGGGAAAATTCATGAGGTGAAAAAACAGGTGAAAAAAGAGGTGAAATCTCACCTCTTCACCTAAACATTATTTTTGTCTGATTTACGCTCATTACGATGAAGTTTCGACAAAACATTTACGTTCATGTTTGACAAAACATTTACGATGAAATCATGAAAATTCAAGAGGGTGAAAAAACAGGTGAAAAAAGAGGTGAAATCTCACCTCTTCACCTAAACATTATTTTTGCTGAATTCAGCAACAACTTTCTCTCAATTGGAGCTGTGGCATACTCTTTGCGTAAGCGGTTCAGACCTTCTTCGAAGTCTTGGTCTCTCTTCGATTTGTATTGAGATTGGAATTGCTGGAACTGAGGTGCAGGGGCTGGTGCTTTAGGTTCCTCTGGTTTGGGAATGGACTCAGTTGGTGGGACGTCGGACATTCGTTTGTGGCTTAACCGTCGGACATCCGTTTGTGTCCTGTCGGAAGGAAGAACTTTTCCTGTCGGACATCCGTTTGTGTCCTGTCGGAAGGAAGAACTTTTCCTGTCGGACATCCGTTTGTGTCCTGTCGGAAGGAAGAACTTTTTCTGTCGGAAGGAAGAACTTTTCCTGTCTGATGGAAGGACTTTTCCTGTCTGATGGAAGGACTTTTCCTGTCTGATGGAAGAACTTTTCCTGTCTGATGGAAGGACTTTTCCTGTCAGTAGCAGTACTGCTAGTAGCAGAGATTTTTATCGTCCAACTTTACAAATGTAAACTCCTATCGTTCTATTTTCTTCACTAGGGTCTAACACCAAAGTAACCTTACAAATGTAAACTTATATCGTTCTATTTTCTTCACTAGGGTCTAACACCAAAGTAACCTATGTACATGAAATTTCACTGCATAAAAGGAAAAAACTTGCGCGAATCGGGATTTGAACCGAGGTCTTCGACGCCTGTAACGAGGTAGCCCATACCACTGAGCTATGAGCCGCTTGCATATTTTTAAGTAAAATATAGTATATTTGTCATACCGTGAAGGATGACCAAACTTAAAAAAAAATAAAGTTAGTTTTATTTTTTTCTATCTTAAGGAAATTCATGAAAATTCAACGGTTGAATTTTGTATAAAAACCAACCCGCTGTTTTCCGCGGGTTGGTATATTCTTCACAAAATGCTTGTTTTGAGGTCGAGCCACTTTTGGCTCCACCTCTTTTTTCAACCAAAAACTCATTTTTGTCGAATTCAGCACAAAATTCATGAAAATTCAACGGGTGAGAAAACAGGTGAAAAAACAGGTGAAAAAAGAGGTGAAATCTCACCTCTTCACCTAAACATTATTTTTCAATACTTTTTCAGCACTTTTCCGTAGTTATATATGAAAGACAATTCGAGATAAAAGTCATAGTACAATGGAATAATATGCTGCACACCGTTTGTTGTGAACCAAACTTGAAAGTCAGAGAAACTGTTACTAGGTGGTTCGTAGAATTTAGAAGCAAAGTCATAAAAGTCCTTACCAATACATAGAAAACTATTGTTGCTTGAACTGAAACTTGCATGACACATGACATTTTGAGGGTCAAACACGTTTCTATAAACTGTCAAATCTGTTGGTGGGCGTATAAATTTAAACGGACCATCTGGTGGTAATGGTTCGTTCTGGTTTAGTAACCGAAGAAATTGTGCCCAAGAACGTTTGTCTACTTCCCAAAATAAAAACTGTGTATCTCTTGGAGGGTTATTTTCAATCCTTTGAAATGAAACTGTGGAGTTCATCTTGTCATATTCTAGCTTCAGATAGTATGTTCCATTTAGTAAAGAATCGTATTTTTCTTGAAATTCCCAGTAGTATTTGTTCATTTGAGTTTGAAAGTCATTTAGAGTCTTCTCAAGACTTTCGTCTGAACGAATTGTAAAGATTCTCATTTCATCAAATTTGTCTATTAGACCATCAGAAGCTTTATACTGCCCATGAAAATATACTGCGAACATAAAAGCGTTCGTTCTATTTGAAAACAAAACTCTTCTAAATCCTATTGCCTTTGCATCTGAAGGACTTTGAAGCCAACGAATTGGAAAGTCAAACCTGTAAGCACCGGATGAAATTTCTTCATCTGAAATATTCCTACCGGCATTTGTGAAGATATAGTCTAACGGTTTTGTATCTGCTACTTTTGTTCTTTGTTTTTCAACCTGAAACATTTAATATATGTAAAAATATACTGTTTTAAAAAACGTTTTAAAATGGTATGCCATTTCATATTTCTCATCTAACAAACAAGTTGTCTGACTGCTTGAGGGTTGGGTTGGTACCATTCGAACTTGACACTTGCAATTCCTTCAATTGCATTCAAAATGTCTGAGTCGGAGTCAAACATTTGTTCTCTCTTTGTAGTCTTGAAAGCGTCAAGAAGTTTTGCAGTTGTTGTGACATTGCCATGCGCATAGTAAATGTGACCATCTAAATCTGTTACGGTTAGTCTGAGATTGTATCCTTTCTTATTTCCGTCTTGTATGGCAGCAAGTACACCCATGAAGCCTTCTTTGTTCTTTCCTTCGTCAAAGTTTACTGTAAAGGTTCGACCAGATGTAATTTGACTTCTAACTTCACGGTACTTTTCATATGCATATCTTGTTCTTTCCATGGGAGCATGTTTGTCTTCACCTTTTCCTTTTTTCCTTCTCAAAGGATGCAATTGTTCGTCATGTTTCCAGTAGAATCTGGCAAAGCCGTCGTGTCCTTCAACTTCAGGTTCACTAACATTGAAAGGCAAGTTCATAAGACGTTCTTCTTCTAACCTCTCTAGTCTGTTTGGATAATTTGCGCGTGCTGTTTCCAATTCCATCTCGTAGCGAAGACCAGACAGTTTGTCATAGACTTTTATTGGCTTTCCCTTCCTATATTTAAACTTCTTCGAAACTTTCCAACCATATCTTTCTAACTCTGCTTTTATTCTAGCAGACCTTCTGTCCATTCTATATGGGGGCATTTTTATAAAAATAAAAAAATATGTTTTTTTTCTTTACTTTACATAACCACCTGCTGCCATAAGTCTTTGACGCCAACCCATACCAGCTAATGAAGGTTGACTTGGTTTAGTTTCCAAACTAAACTTTGGTTTTGGTTTATCTTCAGTTTTTGGTTTCTCTTCTTCTATCGGTTTTTCGTCACTTTTTGGTTCCTCTGACTTTACTTCACTTGCTGGAACAGTTGTGTCGTCAACATCTTCATAAATGTCATATGCCATTTGTTTTTGTTTTCCTTTCAACTTTTTGTGTTTGTTGTAAAGTTTAGAATATTTCGACTCTAAGTCAATGAGATGTTCTATAATGAACTGTTGGTCGGTGAAGAATACCTTCCCATCTGTTGTCTCGAAAGCTCCTTCAGACTTCAATATTTTATTTGTGAGAGTTTGTTTCTTTTTTGAGATACTAGCCGTTCCATTTCTATGAAAAGTGACTTTATAGTTAGGGTTTGTATTTCCAGACCTGGCACTTTCTATTATTGAATTTTTCTCTTCATCTGTAAGTTCTTTGACGGGTTTTGACA